CGCACTGGATAGCTGGCCAATCACAGCACACCTCGCTTTTCAGAACGATGAGCTTTGTAAAAATCAGAAAAGGTGTTTTTCAGAAAGGCGGGGCATAGAGGAGAAACAATACTGTACAGTATGTGGAAAATAATGTGTTTTTTGAACCTTAAACCGCATAAACATGAAGTAGACATTGTAGAACTTCAGAAGAGGATTATGCTGTGTGGATCAAGTAAATAGTCCAGGTACATAGTACTGTTTTTCCCCTGAAGTGATGCAATAGGTTCTTTGAATTCTATTTAATTGGAATGAATTTGAATGGGCAAAACTCTGGACTTCGGGCAACTGGGAAATGAGGACAATCCCAAAAAATACTGAACATAACCACACAGCCATATTTATAATAATTTGTTTTCCGATTTAAAGCATGTAACAGGTATGAATGTGAATTTTTGTTATTATTAAACACTCACAATAATAAATAGCAAATATTCTTTATTCAATTTCACTTTTACATGTTGTTTTTCTTGTCACGGTGGCTCTTACGAATTTTGTTTGCATAAAAATGTTTAATGTATGCATGCATTATTGATCTGATTTGTCCAAACTTGGCTTCTGGTCAGATGAATGGTCACAGAGTTCTGCAATAACAGAAGAAGAAGAAGAAGAAAAAAAACCTCAGTTTTCTTAATGTGCAATGTTTTTGCAATTAATTCAGTGTCAATTAATTCTGATTTCTTTTTGATTTGGGGGTTAAATTATGACATGGACATGTTCTTGACAGATCTGTATCTGAAATCATGTTTTATACATATGTGATACTGAATCTCACATGACCAGGAGCTGTTTTCTCGCAATCATTACTAATAGCTGTTGCTTCCAATCAAAACATACTTGAAACCCAAACTGACCTGTTACTCCATCATAGGAGTATTGGGTTTCTCTTTTGAATCCAAGACACTCAGCTTGCTTCCAGTAGGTGTCCATGTCAGACTGGGTTGGGTTGCTCTCTCTCTCTGCGGGAGCGAAGAAGAAGAAAAAAGAATATCATGGAAGGGAATACATAATTTTAACATGATGTAATATGGATTTTGTGACTTACTGAAAAAGTACAGAGACTTTATGGTCTCATTTTTGAATTGGCTGATGAAGCTTATGGTGGTACAGTCAGGACAGGACGGCAAGAACTTGCCCTCTGATATTGTGCCATTCTCTGTGGATCAAACACCAGCATAACATTCATTAGTGCTCAGAATGCATGAGTTTTAGCTGAAATAAGCTTTTGTTAACTTACCATTGGCATAAAAAGCATTATCTTTAACAGTTCCGTTGATGTTGCTAAATTCACACTTTCCGTTTCTGAGAGGGAGAGAGATACCGAATTCAGAATGCTGGCCATCATAATGATGAAATTCATTCAGATTAGCAAAACATGTTATAAACAGGCCAGTCTTACAGCATGTTCCCTTGACTGAGGGTTAAAGTGTTTGCAAGAGTGCTTGGGCCAAACTCTACCCATGAGCTGTTCACAGTCTTCAAGAAAGCTGTAAATAAGTGGTGATCAGCTATGCCTTCAAGGAAGATCCATTTACCCATGATCTATTTGGAAGAGAAAAGAAGTTGTGAAATCTAAGCCCCTTATATCTCCAGTAGCGTTAATTGACTATAAAAGAATACTTGCTCTAAAATATATTAATATAATGCACTTACACTTTTATTGTCATCCTCCAGGGTTAGCGGTGTTATGAGCTCCTTACAGTCTGGCAGAGATGCCTGACTCAAACTAAACAGGCCCAAAAGAGCAGTCAAGACCACCGAAGTAGACATTATAGAACTTCAGAAGAGGATTTCAGATTATTATGCTGCATCACCTGGAGAACAAGTACTTTATATAGAACAGCTTATCACATATTATCATCTGGATGTTCTGAAGTGATGCAACAGTTTTTTTGTGATGCCAGTGCCAGTAAATGGAAATGAATTAAATGGGTAAAATTGTGGACTTTAGGGATCAGGTAATTCCTGAGGTGACACATTATGCAAATAATTGTGAAATAAAATAATGTTCTTATTTTTCTTTTTATTGATATAGTCTTTAGGTACATGTTTAAAAGAAGAAAATAAATTGATAAAAATTGTATTTATAAAATATTATTAATAATAGTATCCATAAAATATATTAAATCAAATTTACGTTGCATTTTCATTTTTATTTAATTACAATAAAGTTTGTTCTGTAAATGACACTTTACTGATCTTCACATATCCTTCCATCCGTCCGTCCGGTAGTACGTTATTTGAAAAAAGCAAATAAAACTATGAATAAATCACATATGAAACTATGAATAAATAATTTTATGTGATTTGCTCTCTGCATCTTCATAATCAAAATACTCTATGAATATATCATTACACTTCTAAATTCTAGCACAATATTATTTGAACTCGCCACAATCTTTAGTGAGCTGACAGACTCTGAACTGTAAATCATTAACATCAGTTCATTTGTTGATGTTTGTTTTATACTACATGAGGTTTGATATGAAAGATAGCATTAAAAGGAGTTTTACCAACTACAACAGGAATTAACAGAGATAGCAAGTCAGTTGTTTGGTAAAACTGAATGTAACAACACTATAACGTTTTTTTTTTTAATCTCAGAATTGAATCTCAGTATAATGGTTGTTATAAATCTTCTTACCAACTATTTTAGTCACTTCCTTTGGTCAGAGATAGAAAGTCCAGGAAAAAGTTATTTTGGGGTATGAGTATGACTGTGTAAATTTGGATGTGGAAAATATTAAAGTGATGGATAACAAGTCCCAGTGATCAGAAATAAAATGGACAGTAGTAAAATAGGTCCACTTTGAGTCACTGCACTGTTTAGACATGGACAGTCCCAGCGAAGATGTTTATCTCTTTCGTTTTTTCCTTTGTGAATGATCTGGTCGATTATTCTTTGCCCTTTCTGCTCATGAAGCTCCTGCTGACCATAGTGAGAGATCAAAGAGATGTCGCCGGGGCTGTAAGAGGACGGCTGAGGGCAGTCCAACCAATCAGTGGCCAGAAGCCGAGGGTATCCTTCAGGGGCGGAGCCTGGGTGAGTAAATTTCCAGTAGGAATTGCCTTTGAAAAGGTAGGTTGAACCTGATTGATATAGAGAATTTAAAAAATCAGTAGCGCTCTAAAACACTGTCACACACATATATTCACAATGCAGCATTATATATATTTTAACTAAAGGTCTTGAAGCAACACACCCTTAAAGTCTCCAGTCCTTTCTCTCCCGTCGTCATTCTCCATGATAATTCCATTCACTCCTTCTTCAATGAGCTCTCTCCAGACTTCGCTTTCCTCTCCTTTCTTTCCATCTTCTCTCACAGACCCCCACACCACACCCTGCTTTGGGTCCCAGTGCAATCCTTGCCACCTTCCTTCTGAGTCCTCAGGAGCCAGAGTAGACAGAGGCTGAGGGAAACCCTCTTGGAGTGACAGATCCTTAAACAGCCAAACCTGGGAACCTGCACATGTATGTTTAGTAGAGTGGTGTCAAGTCTTGCACATAAAAAAATCAAGGGTGTAAAAATGTTTTTTTTTTTTTTTTTAAGTGAAAATATAAGGTATTTTTTTTACAGTTAAGTGCATATAGCCCATCTTGTTGGCAAAGGCTATTTAGTCTAGCTCTGCCCACCAGACAATAAAACAAAAAAACCAATCTGGCAACAGGAATGGTGGTGTGGAAAGTAAGGATAGTGGATCGACTTGAGTTTGAATCCACTTTTACTGATCCCATTCTTTGCATATCACAGATCAGAAGTTGGATGTTGTGTTCTTGTGTTGTACATGTTGTATGAATATTCTTCATGCTGTTTCATAACTGTACTACAATACATTATGGTGCAAATAGTATCCGCCACCAAGTATGATTTAGCATCCAATGCCATTTACACTAAGTGAAAATAGCATCTTACTACTATTTACGCCTTGTAATTTACTACTATTTACCCAATTTGCACTTAGCCTCTGTCATATTTTTATTCTCTGCACTGGGGCCAAGTAAAATAAATCTCTTTAAATGACATAACTTTCAAACGTGTGGTGCACAATTGTTTGTGATGTGATTGTGCTGGGAAACTGACCACTGAGAAAGATGATGGCATGATCAGTGTGTCTTTCCAGAACCGCTTGCAGTGGAGGAAGTGAAGAAGGAAGAGCCGACCAAAGTCTCTGTACAGGGACAGCCCTGACTGACACCAGACCACCTCTGCTCACTCTCCACATGTTCTGCCCTACAAAATGCATAAGAAAAGGTAAGATAGACCATAAAAATTAGGAGAAAAATATATTAAAAAATCAGTTGCCCATATGGTGACACTGGCTGGATGGATAAAGAGTGTTACAATAACAAGAGTACTAAAAAGATGACAACACTAAAAGTGGAGGAAGTGTTAATATATTAAATAACTCCATAAAGTGTCAATATATTAAATAACTCCATAAATTAATTTTAAAGCTTCAAGTATCTACCTTTAAAGAAGAAGATCTCTCCTCGAATCTTAGCAACTGCATCAAAACTGGTGTTACAGCGATCCACAGAACTTAAGACAGAGAGACATTTCATCAAATATATGATTTTTCTCTTCATTAGCATGCACTGAACATTTTAACAAACTTGTTTTGGTTAAAAAATAAAACAACAAAGAAACATGACTTTGAATATTTAAAGGTATAATTAACCCAAAAACGAAAATTCTGAAAGTTTACTTGCCCTCAAGTTGTTCCAAACCTGTATGAGTTTCTTTCTTCTGTTGAACACAAAAGAAGATATTTTGACGAATACTGGTAACCAAACAGTTGCCGGGTAGCCATTGACTTCCATTGTATGGAAAAAAATACTTTGGAAGTCTATGGCTTTAGGCAACTGTTTTCCCAACATCCTTCAAAATGATGACATAATTTAAATTTTTGGGTGAACTATCCCTTTAAACATCTTTTGCCTTTTAAGCCAGCATGAAACAGTTTTCAGAATTTACTACATGTAAGGCCTGTTTTGGGTTTTGTTTCTGGTTCAGGTTTTCATGTCTTTTATTTTTATATTTACTTTGTTTCATGTTCCTGTCATGTGTTTTTCCTACCCTGTCATGTGATCCTGCCATGTGGTACTCTTGCCTGTGTGTCATGTTCTGATTGGTTGTCCTAGCCATGTGTCTTGTTTCCTCATTGGTTGGTCCTTGTCATGTGACCCTGATTGTTTGCTATAAGTAGCCATCATGTTGCCTTTGTGCTTTGTCTGCATTGAATGTATTTATCCTGCTGTCCGTGAGTCTAGTCTGTTCATGTTAAGTCAAGTCTTCGTTTGTTTGAATTATGTTTGGATCACTTTGTTTAAATAAATCTGCACTTGGATTCATCACTACACTCGCCTACAGTGGACTATCATTACACTACATTACTTTGTTACTATTTACTACGTTAAAGCATAAATACACCACATGACTCTTGTTCACATATTTCTTCAGTACTTGTTGGCAAAAGTCAGAGCCAGTCTGCAGATTTTGGGCAGTCAGAGTTGATGGATTTCAAATATCAAACATATTTTAGTCCATATTAGAATACATAATGTATTTGTCATGTGCCTCTTATCAACGAGGCTCATGTTTCTGTGTTTCACACTAGTTTTCACACTACTTGAAAGTCTGGTACACTCTTAAAAATAAAGGTGCTTCAAAAGGTTCTTCAAGCGATGCCATAGAAGAACCATTTTTGGTTCCACAAAGAACCATTCAGTCAAAGGTTCTTTAAAGAACCATCTCTTTCTTGCGTTTTTGTAATCTGAAGAACCTTCTTTCGCCACAAAGAACCTTTTGTGAAACAGAAAGGTTCTTCAGATGTTAAAGGTTCTTTATGGAACCATTTAGACAAAAAGGTTCTTCTATGACATCGTGAAGCACCTTTATTTTTAAGAGTGTAGTATGTAATCCTTGGTCATTTAGTATATAATGTCCAGTTTTTCTCCAGTTATTCCTATAAAATCTGTCCAGTATGTGTATTCCAGTATTTGTCACAATAAAGAACATGCATTAGTATATAAGCTTGATTCTGAATTGATGTTGAATTCAAAAGGTTTAATTGATCCTTTCTTACCTGTCCAAATGGCTTTGAGCGTGTCTGTACATGTGTGTGAGTCTGTGTACTCCTCCATGTCGGTGACGCAGTTGAGCCTCGGTCACAAGAAGAGGTCTGTCAGTTGGAACATGGTTTCCCCTCTTACCTGAGTTCACACACAGACACACATGCAGAAAAGATACTTTGAGTAACTGCCAAACAGAGATTCCAAACAAGACATTTAATGACAGTTACCATAAAGGGCTGTGATGTGTTGAAGGTCATGATGTCCCAGGCTGAAGTGTAGCGGGTCTCCTAGGGGCCCTTGGTAGTATGGACGCATTACAGATTGGCGTGAGGATGAATGGGTCAGTCCGAGGGCATGACCAAGCTCGTGCACCAGCACTGTGAACAGATCTGTGCCCTCTGTTGCTGTGTATAAATGTTGAATTAGATTATCAATACTGGATATATATATATATATATATATATATATATCAGCTGATATTGAATACTTAACCCTATTAGATTAAAGGTCTGCTGTATCATATTTGATACACAAACTTCTAAGGCCTCTAAATTACATGATCAAAGTTTTGCTGAAAAACTGATTGATACAGTTTTAGCAAGTAAAAGGCCTTTCAGTAATATCTACTTTGTAGGTTGTGGTAAACGTAGCTTTTTGCTTTGAAATCTTTACTGATTTTTTTTTTTTAAAGTGAATGTAATAACAACTTTTACATTGTTACAGTATTGGAAGATGAAGTTACTGCATGGACTGAAGCAACTTGGGTTTTATTTGACTATCCATACAACTTTTTTTTTTTTTTTTAGAATCATGTTAAAAATGTATAAAATATGAAGCACCAGGCTTCTGAGGAATGTCTCATTCATCATTGTATTGCATTGCATTATGTTTTGCCCCCAACAATAAAAACAGCAGATCTTTGATCATAAAACTAAGGATTTCAATCTTACTAAAACATTATTGGAAGATACAGAGTGAGAACTGATATGCATTTTACGTAAATAGTTTGCTATAAAGATCTCATTGATTTACATTACAAGCTATCAGAATTTCATATTACTTTTTGGCTATAAAAATATAAGCTGCTCCAATTAGCATATTTTAGTTTAGCTTGGGCCTCTGAATTAGTACAAGCTCCGTATTTTCCTTATGTATAGAATATAATACTCAAGTTTTTTTCTTTTTTTTGTTGCTTTTTTTAAAGATTTTTTTAAATATATATTTTGTCTAATGCTTTAATAAACTTTAATAAACCATTAAAATGTTTATTTTTACTTCAAATGTCAGGCTACAAGGTTAATTGTGCTTATCTTCCCCCTATTTTACAATAATATTAAGTAAGCTTTAGATGATGGGAAAGCTAATCTTTAAAACAAACAAAAAAAATGATTTAATAATTGTAATTTTTAGCAAATCCCAAACTGAATATTTGTATTAGCATGAAAATTATTGGCCTGTACTGTCCTGTTGGGTTTTACTTTGGCTTTGTGCATTATTGATTGTTTTGCAGAATTACCTGGTTGTCTGAAGGCCCATTTCTCCTCTGCATCCAAGTGAACTCCACCAGCCCTGTCTGGATCTGATGGAAAGAAGGCATGGCCAACAGATCCACCTGCTCCATCAAAGGGATATCCGTCTCCATGGGGACCGCGCAAGAAATCTATCTGGAGATCCGCCCCCTCTGGTCCTCGCACCTATTTGAAATAGTTCAACACATAGTCTGTGAATTTACATGAACACAAATGTATTCAAAAACACTGGCTTTTAAAAAGTAAACAGAACCTCATGGAATTCAAGTAATGTTGGATCGGCCCACACTCTGAGTGCATAGTACACAAGGGAGCGAATCATTTCACGGGACAGTTTAGAGGATGGCGGGTAAGAACGCAGCCTGAGAAAAAAAACAGAGAATAAGATACATTTGCTTAGGTGTTTTTAATCTTTTTCTCTGCTGTGAGACTGTGTACTAACCATCAAGTTTGTGAAAGCAGGAAGAAAAACACAACTGGTAAAATAATCAGGCTAACCTCCAGTTGATATTTCTTCTTGTCCAGGTAGAAGCTGCCCTTTTCATCCTTTGATTTTGCACATCACTGTGTAGTGCCGATGTCTGAATGGTTTGGTCATCATCATCTGGAAGTGAGCACCGGGGTGTCTGCATCAGTTGAACAGTCTCTTCATCTGTGACAGGAAGGTGAGGGTAAAGACAAAGGCACAATAGAAGAGTTATGAAATAAGATTTAGATTTAAAATAGTGGGGGACATATTGTTTTTCATACCTAACACTCCTGTGTCATCCAAACCAGCAAACCTCTGCATTTTCTTCACTGCTTGAGTGACAGCAGTCCAGGCCTGTAACTGACCTGTAGAGGGATCAGGGGGTGGGAGGTATCCATACTTCGTGAGCCAGTCCTGCCAAACAGAACAGCATGAAACCATAAAAGATAAATTCAAATACACTACCATTGAAAATTTGGAAAGAAATGTATGCTTTATTCAGCAAGGATGCAAGTGATCCTTGATCAGAAGTGACAATAAAGACTTTTACATTGTTAAAAAACAATTCTATTTCAAGTAAATGCTGACAAATTCAATTACTTTAACTTTAACCCTGGGAAAAAAAACCATATGACCATTGCACAATAATATTAAGCAGCACAACTTTTCATCTTTTCAACATCTGATAATAAGGTTGCTTGAGCACCAAAGCAGCATATTCAGCTTTGCCATCAGAGTAATAAATTACATTTTAAAATATGCTCTATTAGAAAAAAGTTATTTTAAATTGTAATATTATATTATTTTAAATTGTAATATTGTAAACAATATTAATGTATTTCTGATTACATAAATGCAGCCTTGGTAAGCATAAAAGACTTATTTCAAAAACATTAAAAAAAAATTGTACTGACCCCAATCTTTAGAACAGTAATTGCACATTCTGCATTTCTAAGCATTTATGGGAATCGTTGTAAATTATAAATGCAGTGGTAAATTATTATTTTTTCTAAAGGTTTTTTTTGTGTATAAAATAATATAGATTACGATATTTAAAAAAAAATGTATTCAAAAGTATTCAAATTAACCATGAAAGCAATATAAAAATGCCATTTGCAACCAAGTTTAGTTCTATAACATGACAATTACGATTAAAACAGGATATTTAACAATAAATTAGTGATGGGGAGTGTGATGTCCCCAAAAATGCAAACTAATTTTATTTATAACAGATTATTAGGTTTTTCTTAAAAATTATGAAAATAAACTTGAGAAAATGTGCACAAATGAATCATGCACACTAAGAAGCATATAGGGTATCATAAGCATATAAGAAATTTCATGTTGACTTTTAATGGAACACTACAACACTGAAAAATCTTTTCCAACTGCAGGTAAAACTGCATGTAAAACTTCCAAACACATTCTCACCACAAGTTTGATGCTCTCATCTTCTGTGGGTAAGACAGTGAGTAAAGCAGTAGACGTAACCGTGCTCGCCAAAGTGGTTGGGAATGCATCTTTATCAGCCGTTCCATAAACTTCCACTGTATGTCCACACATGTAGAAGACAACTGCTGTCCAAAACATCGCCATCATACTGAGAGCGTATACATCATCTGCTTAGAATAGTAGAACTATGACAAAATACTGTTGATAGAGGTATGCAAATCTCAGTCCTCCTTAGTCAAGTGATTTCAATGACGTCATCTTTGCTGAATCAGAGATGGTGGCCTCTCTTGTGTTGAGGGATTGTAGGATTGATGCCAGCACTGTAAATGCACAGTTTGCGGTGGTGATTATACAAGAATGTGTTCTATAGTATTCTAACCAATGACAACAACAACTTTATATAAGATGATAGATTAAATCAGTAGCGCAATCTCATAAAAGTGAGGACTTCTTTCAGTCCTAAAATAATTTACTTTACTTCACTACACTGCCGACTGCTTTGGTTGTAAAGCTGCATGATTGAATTGCAGATGGCTAGTATCAAAGAGAAAAGGATGAAGAGGCTACAGAGGTTTTTGTGTTTCATTTTAAAGGAAAAGCAGACAAGCACAACAGATGTGACTAGGATGTGAGGCTTTAATTAAATTAGCAGGTGCAATTTCATTAAAGAAATGAGACAATGTGGGAGACGGCGGGTTGAAAGAGTAGGAGGGATAGGGGAATGGGGCATGGAAAAGAAGAGTTATGGAATAATGGAATTAAAGGAAAACACTGCCAGTCTCAGAGGAAAAAGACAGAGGACAGTGTACGAAAGGGAGGGAGACTGATGGGAAAAAGGGGAAGAGACACATGTAAATATGTGGATTCATTACATATAGGGGACAGAGAACCTGCATAAATGTGACACTCAATAAATGTAATAACATAATGCATCGGCATGTCATTTATGATATGCAATTCAATCTCTCAACCTTAACCTCCCAAAAGTATTATAGTATTAATATTAATAACAATATATTAAATGATTAACTGTTGTAAGTAACTGTGTTTTAGCATAATCATTTCATTTGGTTTCATATCAACTTGTTTGTCTTGCTCTGTTTACATGTGATTAACGGGCGGCGGGGGAGACATTTATAAGACATAACAAAGGATCCAGAATCATTTTAATCTTTAATAGCTGAATAAACTCAAGATAGTCAGACAACAACAAAGAAAACTTACAAAAAGTTACAGTTAATGCAATGAATTATGTTATTCAAAACAGAAAGAAATGGGACATGCTTACATTGCTCACAACTTCGTTCCTCCTTTGCACTCGCCTGCTCTGTCCCGCTGCCTTCCTTCTCTGTTCCTGAACAGATGTGTTCCTCTCATCCCCTCCCCCCTCCCCCCCCCCTTCTGCCTCTGCACTCGCACAATGGACTCCTAATACCCCCTCAGTAACATATCCACCCACCCCTGCTAAGTGCATCGGGCATTTGCGCACTCTCTCTCTGTGCTTGGAAGATACCAGTGTGAAAAAGCCTCTTTATATCCAGCGAGGAGATGTAGTGACATGCTTAGTTGCACATGTCCATCCTCTCTCTGTCAAATTTCCTGTACTTCATGCTCAAACCACTCAAATGTCTCATAGATTTCATCACCTGCTAATGGAGGAAACACTAATGTGATTCTGAACACAGTATGAACACTTACATATTTATATATGGATCCTTAAATGTGAGATCTAAATCAACTACCGGATTAGGGTTTCACTTTATCTTTGGGCTTGTGTGTAGTTGTGGATATGTTGGGATTAAATCCTTTTAACGAAAGGATTAAAAAAATTAAAAACGAAGATTTGAACAGATCTAGCTAAATGCATTGTTGCTGTCTGGTCCGCTATAATATATCAGATTGAGATACACAACTTCTTTGTGACAATTTCTGTATTTAAACAATTTAAATGTTCGTTGGCACATATAAAATGTATCAAATCCTGGGATATTTGTGCAGGGGTTAACTTGTTCAAACTTGTATCATGGCAGAAAGCAAGAGAGAGAGAGCACATTTCCAGATGGGCTATCTGTCTTTTTCGCTGGATAATACTGTGGGGAGTCCCAAGGGAATAGCTGGATTGGAAAAGCATACTTACAAGGGCAACTGAGGCGTGTGCTGAATATTTATAGTGTAACTTGACCTCCTGATCTGGTAAACTTCTCAGAGTATAACCTGTCTACTGCAAAAACCTTATCACCTCAGTGCTCTATATCTTATTGAGATATTACAGCTTTTAATAGCTTTAAAATGGCTTATACTGGGCATTTTAGTTATTTGACAAAAACTTCTTAGAGAGAGTGTGCAGCATGAGTAAAGGATGCATTATTGCCTTGTCTTGCTGATGATTTTGACCCACAGGTCAAAGCGTGTGGCCCAGAGGGGCAGATGTGTTCACTGTATTTTTAGAAAGATGCACAAGGCAGGAAGTTTATCTGTGAATGGATGTGTGTGTTCAATAAGAGAGTCATCAAGAGCCACAAAAGACCAAGTGAACTTCCTTGTCTCCAAGACAACTGAGATGCCTTTATAGGAACTCTGCAATACAGATATTCATTGTGCGCCCAGGACATGGGCCTCAGCTTCACTCTCAAAAAGAATGGCACTGGAATTTCTTACTATGGTCACCTCTGATAATACCACAAAATATAGACTCCCAGTGAGTCACTCAGCATCCTTCTGTTTAGAGAAAAGTGTTGTATTTCACCGTTTAAAAGTTTGGGATCAGTAAGAATTGTTTTTAAAAGAAATGAATAGTTCACGGACACATTTACTTAATCAAAAGTGACAGTATAAGCACATGCTGTTCCATTGGTCGCGGAACCGGGGGGCCGCCCGGACCTGGGCCCGGGTTACTTTTGAGGTCTGGTACAAATATGACATGGGCTAGAAAAATACATAGGCTATAATTATAAGGCTCATATGTATTGTATAGCCTACACGTTTAATCATTAAAGGATCGCGATCTCGATTCAAACAGACGTGATCTTATTCCTAAATGACAGTGATTCTGCTATGTCTATTAAACCTTTGAAATCACAATCACATCGGAATATTTAAACCTGCTTTTGCGCAGCCACTGATCCAGAGAGAGCAGCGCTCATCATTTAAAGTGTTTGAAACAGCTTCACAAACAGTCTACACAGCAGGCTACATTTCTGTGTTGCAAACATTAAATAATAACGAAAGTATTGGAATAAAAGTTTATAGTCCGGATATAGACTCTCTCATAGGTCTTTGAAAGTAATGATACGCTGCAAATAATGATTGTATATGTTGCATTATGCCAGTAGGTGGCGAAGAGTGACTGTTAAATGTATTTGATGTCTGAATCATTCATTCAAGAGATTCAAAACGAAACAAGTCTTCATTTATTTCAAATTATTTTTTTTTTACATAATTAGGCTAATTCGTTTAAATGAATACATATTTTAAATAGACTAATTTATAACATTAATAAAAAAATTGTAAATTGTAAATTACATATTTTGTTTGGTTGTCTGTTTTGTTTTCACAATTGTGGGAGAATCATAGCTTAAAAATACATAGGCTAATATATCTGGCATCTAACTAATACCATTAGTACTGTTTCTAATATTAAAATGAGTTCTGCAACCAACCCCCACCCCAACCCCCATATATATATATATATATAAATTTAATTTAATTTATGCATTTAGCAGACGCTTTTATCCAAAGCAACTTACAGTGCATTCAGGCTATACATTTTTTACCAGTATGTAAAAAAAAATAAAAAAATACATTATATATATCTATATGCCTACTCATTTGACAGTATACTTTAAATATTGTCTCTTAAATAAATTGCTTGTGATGTCCAGATAAATCTTTTGACAAATTGATAAATATGTAAATCTTATTTGACAGAGTAATATAGAAATCTACGTGACTTTTCGACAACAGTCAAATTTGTTATATTGGAAACAAACGAT